TTGGTGTCCCATGCACAATGAACCATAACTAGTTTCCCTTAACCAACACGTGGCTCCCTTTGCTGGATGCCTCATACTAGGTGTGTGCTTGGTGCTTATAGGCTCAAACATTATGGTTGATCCCAAACGCATAGTGCCTTTGGACTCAAGAAAATATTTGGTACCCATATGCTAAGGCACAATGTCTGGTGTCGGCGATGCATGCATGGGCGTGTCTTATGGTTTATACCTAATATCTATTCTTTTAGTTTTTTTATTTGTTTTTTTATTAACAAACCCAATCATTTTTTCTTTGACCTAAACAATTCGTACTTTTAGGTGTGCATTAATTTCTCATAACATAGTGCATTTTTATTTAATTAATGTTTGTGAAAATAATATTTATTTTTTATTAATACATGTAAGGTATATGAAAATAATATTTATTTTTTATTAATACATATAAGGTATATACATCACTCATTAATATTATTCTGATAAAATAATTCTCTAATCCCTTTACTTAAAAAAAAAACAATGTTTACCTCTTAAACATTCTCTAATCCCTTTACTTAAAAAAAAAAACAATATTTATAAAATATAAATACCTCTTAAATCATTCAATAAATTCATAACTTTTATATTCTCTGCATATTTTATTTGTAGAGCCTCTCTCTTTAACACAGAAGGATTTTTTAGAAAACTTTGGTTTAAAGTGAGATATAATTAATGGAACATTTTCCATTAACAAAAGAAATTAACAGCATAATTTCCATCAAATTGTTATTAATTACAGTGGAGTTGATTACGCAGCGTTAGTTGAGCTAGTTAAAGAAATTATAATATATTATTATTAAAACTCTTATAATTGATAAAGTTCAAATGATGGACTCCATTACTTTCTTGAAAAGGAAACGAGGACAACAGCGTGGCTAAAGCTATATTTCCTATATATATATACGTATATATATTTCCTAAAATTCAATTCGGTCAAGAAAGTCTAAAAACAACAGTACTATCCAGAGGGTTTAATTTAATATTATGCTTATTACAAGTACAAAAATGCAAAAACATGCATTTTAAAATCAAGCTAGCACTCAAGTTTAATAGAATATCAACAACTAAAGAAAGAAGAAAGGCATCGTTGAACAAAACAGTGATTAAATTCAGAATTTAATCCCGCAGTATGGTTTAGCAACTAGTTCAAATCCTCTGAATTGATCTCACTGAATCTCAGACAAACATCAACGATATTGGCAAGACTTCATGGCCATTAAACTTTGCTAAAAGTTTATGGCTTGAACGAAGGGAGGTTTTGGTCTGCTTCTTTTGGTTGTTCTTGTTGGTTTCCCTGGCCCTCTACCTCTGTTGAGGCAATTTGTGCCATGGACCTTCTCCGCTCACATTGCTCTCCTTAGACACAACTTCTCAATATCATAAATGTCTTGTTCAGTGTCGTTGTTTGGAGCAGCAATAGAACTCTTGTAAAAGATATTGGATGTTGCCTTCTCTAAGGTCACCCATTATCAGCAAGCCAAGCAAACAAGAGCGAAATAAATTATATTTTCACATCAACAAGAACTAGTTGAGAAGGGGAAATCATTGTTCCCCTCCTCATATGTTACTCGCAAGATCAAATGCTCCACTGTTTTTGTATATTGAATGCAAATTATAGGCTGCTTCTTTCTCTACGCAGGTCACAATAACCTGGTTTCATAACATGAAGCTGCTAGAGACCCTAGTCCACCGTGATGGCAGGCACGGGCGATATCATACAGATATATAAATTCAGCGCCATTTTACAAACAAAAATCCACGAAAGGGGAAACTAGATTGATCATATGTTGCTTTCAATGATTCAAGCATTTGTGCATACAAGTAATTAGCAGCCACAGATGCTATGATTCAAGCGCGACAAGAAAATACAGAAACTTCAACAGAATAATAGCAGCAGAAAAGGAGAACAACTTGGCACAGTTTAGCAACTGTCCCAGTAGCCTGACAGTTGAAAGACGACGATGCATGTTCTACTGACTGAATCTAACGTGGAAACGCCTACGATCTTAAAATTGGCTTTATTTGGGAGAAAAATAAAAGTTTTGGTAACCATTCAGTTCTATAAAATCCCCCTAACCACCCAAACACAAGGGCATGTGTGATATTCATTTACCTCCAAACATTATTCATTTTTGATACAGAAAGTAAAAGAATATCTGCTGGTGACTTTATGCAGCATGAGTGGGATTCGTTAACAATGATGCGCTTTGTTTCAAGCAAATAAATCAATCAAAATAAAAAATAAAGAACAGATGCATAGAAGTAAAGGGAAAAAATACAGAGATCTAGAATAAGATCATGATGCGCTCTGTCCTTTAAAAAATCATGCAGAGGAGAAACTCTGTTTTCTAGCTGTAACCACCAAAAAGAGAATTATCTATCAGGTCATCAAGCCCAAGTGACAGGTACTTGCCGGTAAACTGAATAACTAAGCTTAGGCAAGTCATCCAAAAATCAGTCGCACTGTACCAGAGATTTATCATCTAGGCAAATCAATACCAGCAGCTTTATCAGCTGCTTTCGTTCTTCCCTCTTGCTCTGCAACCTCTCAGTCTAGTTCCAGGCATCCATCGGTGAATGGTTACTTAGCTGCTCCCATCAGCAGCATGATAAGGAGGAAAGGGCAAATACAAACACAACCAATCTTTACCAACCATTTTCTAACTTATTTGATGGATTTACTTTATGTCAAGTCTAAAGTCTTTTTGAGTAAATGATTTAAAGCTAAATTAGGGATGACTGTAGCTCATCCTATTTATTAGTTCAGGCCATTATAACCTAATCTTTTGGAGAGCATAAAGTTGTTAAGAGTTAAGCAAGACATCATATGGTGATTATTACATTAGCCAAAGGGTTTCACCTAAAGTTCCTCTTTATTGGTAATCTGTTAGGACAAAAACTCCTTGATCGTTAGAATCATGTAA